GGTTCTGTATTGTAGTTTAAATGAATTATTACTCAGAGTTCTATATTAATATGCTTAGTAAGGAATCTATTTGTCAAAATTCATTTTCTGAATCTATTTTTGTCTGTATTATTACAGACATACTTGCTGACAGGTATTTTTAAATAAATTACCAAAATAATTGAAGCTGGTGTGATTATATTGTGTTATTTTTACAGAAAATATGCAGAATTTTGCAGCATTTGAAAATACTGTGCGCAGAATTTTAAATTTTTTGGTGCAGAGTTCCCCCAGGAGTAATAACAATTCCCATTGATGCTAATGAAAGCTATTTGGCTAAAGCTTGTTTGAAATCTTGGGGAAAACCAACCCGATTGATGTCAGGCTTCAGTCAACTGCCCAACTCTCTGCTATCTGATTTAACACCAATTTGGTGCATCTATTGCATTAAGGTGGTGATAGCATATTGTTATAGCTGAGGATTGTGAACCAGGAATCCAGCTGTTCTATTCCCAGTTTCACAACTGATCTTACTGTGTGATTTTGCTCAAGTCACCTAATACCTTTTTGCGTCAGTTTATTCATCAGTAAAATTAATACAATATTTACCTAAATTACAACAATGGCTTAACTTTTTGTAAAACACTGTTACAAAAAAAAACACTGTTACAGTTGTAAAACACTGCTACGTTCAGATAAAAGATGCTAGATGGTGGGGAGGGAATAATTTCTATCTTTAGTTGTTTTTTTTTTTTGTCAGTGTTGTGTTTTAAAACAGTACAAAGCACAAGTAATGAATGACTACTGACAGGGAGGTTTTAAAGTAAAAATCAGAGTTTTTTCATTGTAAAACAGATGCTGTGTTATGATTAACTGGCCTGCTGATGTTACTTGATTAATTAAATACTAAAACAAAAACATGCAGCACTGAAACCAGAGCACAATGAACAAACTATTAGCTGAATAAACAAAAAAAAAAATCTAGGAAATAACCCAAAGATTAAATCTAAAAACAATTTTCAATGACAGCTGCAGAGGGATCTTCTACAATATGTTATACCAAGATATGAAAGTGTCACAGTTTTGTGAGTACACCATTCCCCATCTGTGCTGATGGTCAAAATAGAGAAGCTTGCTTCTTTTTCATGTGTGTTGCCAGATTCCTCTAGTGATGCTCAGACCTACTTTAACAAACCATATCCAAACTATCACGCCAGTTCTGTTCATGGACAATTCAAGTAGGTAGAATGGGCTCAAAAAACCCTCCCCCCACAAAAGCACCACCACAATTAATCTCCTTAGTAGTTGTTTCATTAGAGAGATCAAAGATTGAACGGAAACAGACATAACCTCTAACCCCCATTTAAGATGGCTTCTCTAGATCAGAGCTTAGGCACACTGGGCGAGGCAGAGCAGGAGAGTTTTAGTACCCGTATTATGCCTGCTGTGTGAGTAAGCAGTGAACTTCTGGAGCTCAAATGTCATCATATTGCCACATTTGCACAAGCTTTAAATTCATTTCAGAAAAACTTAAGTAGAAAGTTCTTCTGTTTACAGGTATCTTGATAACTCTCAAAATGGGAAGAAAGCAAAGAAAAAAACTGCAATAGTTTAATTAATAATTGGATAAAATATTTTCCCCACTTTAATGACTTATTCTGGAAAAATAATAGAATGGAAATGCTAAAAAATGCCATTCACAAAATACTCAACAATGTTACCTTTTTTAAAGGTTTGTACATTGTATATAAACCAGTCCCAATGATGAAAATATAAACAGCATTTGCAGTAATTCAGGGAACAGTTCACGCTAGTTGTTGGTCAAGAATTGTTCACTTCAAGTATTTACAATTAATTATTTTTGGCATGTGATTGGTCACAAAATATTGATTATGATCCCTGATTGCATAACAAAATGTTAAAATTTCAGATCTGAACGACGAATGATGAAAACTGTAGAAAGTAGTGAAACTTCCAGGACCCCTGAACATTTTCATGGATACTAAGAAATCATTTCAATATTCAGACATAATTAACAGAAGATCGCATGAATAGCAGTGAATTATGAATATATTAGAGATTCCCCCCCCCCATTATTCAGTCAGCTCCAGTAAAAACAGTTTTTACACACAGTATATAGTGGAGTGCTATTAAATCTGCTGTAAGACTTATATTCTTTGTCATCAGAAATCAATTGTGTAATTTTCAGGTTTCCACTTCTAAGCCACTTGTGCCAGCACTGATAGTACTTTGGTTCTTTTGAATATCCTGCACATTTACCATAATTCTGTTCAATCTATACAAAGCCTCCAGGTACCTGATAAGTAATCAGAGAAGAAACAAGCCCTAATATGGTACTCCTGGGGGGATTCTGAGCCAAAAAATTAAAAATTCTGTGCATAATTTTTAAAAAATTCTGCATATTTTATTGGTCAAAGTAACACAATATAATCACTCCAGTTTCAATTATTTGGGTCATTTATTTCAAAATACATTTCAACAAGTATTTTCTTCAACAACAATACAGACAAGAGCAAAAAATATCCTCCAGGAGTACAGAGCTAAAGAAACCTCTATGACAACCCAGTTCCAGTTGGGGGATGTTGGAGGCGGCTGTGTGGGGCCCCCAGAGCACAGACACAGGGCACCCCCTGGCCCAGACACCACCACTCCCCTCCCCACAGGTCCCAGCCACAAGACTCCCCCCAGCTTCTTTACTGTCCTGCCAGAGGACATGGTGTAGTGCAGCCCTTCCTCACCCTTTGCCAGAGCTGGGTCTCTTGGGCCCTCTCCTGTCCCTGGGAGAATGAGGATCAGGCAGAGCATGCAGCCCCTAGCCTAGCCAGGCAGTGCGCTCTGCTCACTGAGAGCTGGGCTCTGCAGAGTCCAGCGGCCCTTAGTGGCGGCCAGCAGATCTGCAGCCCCAATTCTGAGGGAGGGAACAGGGAGTTCTATGAAATTCTGCATTGTGCAGTGGCACAGAATTCCCCCAGGAGTAATATGGTCCCTGAAGTATGTAGTCAGAATGCTATTCAAAGCATCCAGGAATGTACGATATTACCACAAGGGATTTATCTGAAATGAGATTACTAGGTTTTTACTGGCTTGACTTTAGTGCTCTCACATTTGACAGATGCAGCTGTGTAGTTAAGCAGAATGTTGATGGATGATCTGTACTCTAGTTTTCATATACTGTTTATTTTGGGAATTCTCCTACCCCCGATTCATTCTGCAGTCTGTCACAAATATTTAATTTGCTTTTAGGAAGAACTGACAAAGTAAGCAACAAATATATGTCTCAGATTAATCAGATGACGTGGCAATGATCAATTGCAAACTGAAATTACTGTAGTAGCTTGATGTGCCACAAGGAAGATTAGATCATAGGTTTCATATTGGGTCAAAATGAGAGGAATTTTCACTAACAAATGAAACATTTAGGGTAGTGGAAAGAACACACTTTTCTTGTTATATCGGTGGTCAGGAACTGTATTAATGTCACAGATGTGTACATGAAGTAAGCTAGAGCTTTTCAAAGATACACAATAAGTAATGAGAGAAAGATATTCCCACCTGAAAAAGACCTATTAAATTTAATAGGAATAAAACAACCAGGGTGATAGAATTTAAGAGAGAATTGTAATCCTGCTATAGAATTCCATCTCTCTAAAGTTGCTTATAGAAGCCATCACTGTAATAAGCAAATATTTGTATGAGTTATTTTAAACATTTTATTATAATTGATTCTTTATTATATTATCTAGGACATTTCAAAGGGGCTTACCAGACCTGAACCTGTGATGTGTCCCTTCCACTTTGGTGCTCTATTTACTTTGTTTTGAGTTGCCCTAGGGCTGGCCCTTGTCTATTGTATCCAGACATGGAACCTTCATGCCAAGACACTGACCCTGAATCAGGTTCCTTCACCCTTGCTCTTTTATATTCCTCTCATGCACTTTTATACCCTTATAGCCCTCCTCTTAGTACTTAATTGTGATTGAGAGGGCTTCTCCTCCAGCAGGGAAGAACACTCCTCTGAAATCCTAAAATTGGCAAACATGAACTGGCACATATATATATAGTATTAGAAATCAGGATCACCAAGAAGCATAACCTTGCAACATTAATAGCAAGTTTCAAATGCACATCTCTGTAAACAGTGAGGAAAGAGCATAGAGGTTTCTCTGAAACCATATTATGCTGACAATCAGTCAATGAGCATGCTGCAGCATTATAACTATGTTCAACTTCGGTACCTAGGCATTTACTTACTACTCCAGTTAATACAAAGAAGGTGCAAGTGTAATACATTTTAAAAGCTGTAGTCAATTCCACATTTAAGGGATTTTCTGTCTATGTAAAGAATCAAATTTTATTATCCAGCATTCATTTGCATATGGTGCTGACTTAATTATACTTTAATAATGTTAGTTTTGAACCCCATAAACCTGTTGTGTTCAGTGCTCATGGACAAATATGTTCTAACTAACACTCCTGAAAATTCAGTTTGGGATCTGAGAGTCATGCTGGGAATTATATTTACTTCCCATGCATCATCATGAATACAATTTTCAGATTAAGTTACTTCCTCACTGGAGGCCTGAGCCTGCACCATTGTAGTCAATAGGTATTTTGCTGTTGATATGAATGAGCGCAGGATCCAGCCCTTAGTTACCTCTGTGTAATTGCATCTCCTTAAGAACTATGTCCCTAAGTACGCACATGTGAAGTCCTCTTTCCTTTTACAGGTTTCCACAATGTATTAACCAATTCCATTGACATTGCACAAGAAGGAACAGAATCCAGTCAGCTCTTTCATAACTGTGACAGTTCAGCACAGGTAACACAAGTAAAATATAACGAACGGGTATTTAGTTACTAAATCAAACAGATGTGACAATGACTACATACAGAGAGCACATCTGTTGGGTAAGAAGGTGCTATTTGTACATAATCACTCCTCACAGGAAAACTACCATTTAAGGAAATCTTGCTCCACAAAAGGGTAGTTAAGTACATACCTGTACTTCAAAATCCATATTCTCCAGAAATTTTTGGTTCATGGTTTCAGCAAATTTGTTGATAGCTCGCAAAAACACTCTAAAAAAAGAAAAAACAATGGAATAAGTTTATGGATGTGATCTTTGGAATGATATCTTAATCAGGTCTGATAGCAATTAAAAGCTCATTTATTTAAAGACTAAGGGTATGTCTACACTACGGAATAAGGTCGAAATTATAGAAGTCGTTTTTTTAGAAATCGGTTTTATATATTCCAGTGTGTGTGTCCCCACAGAAAATGCTCTAAGTGCATTAAGTGCATTAACTCGGCGGAGTGCTTCCACAGTACCGAGGCTAGAGTCAACTTCTGGAGCATTGCACTGTGGATAGCTATCCCACAGTTCCCACAGTCTCCGCTGCCCATTGGAATTCTGGGTTGAGATCCCAATGTCTGATGGGGCTAAAACATTGTCGCGGGTGGTTGTGGGTACATATCGTCAGGCCCCCCTTCCCTCCCTCCCTCCCTCTATGAAAGCAAGGGTAGACAATCGTTTTGCGCCTTTTTTCCTGAGTTACCTGTGCAGATGCCATACCACAGCAAGCATGGAGCCCGCTCAGGTAACCGTCACCGTATGTCTCCTGGGTGCTGGCAGACGCGGTACGGCATTGCTACACAGTAACAGCAACCCATTGCCTTCTGGCAGCAGATGGTGCAGTACAATTGGTAGCCGTTCTCGTCATGTCCGAGGTGCTCCTGGCCACGTCGGCTGGGAGTGCCTGGGCAGACATGGGCGCAGGGACTAAATTTGGAGTGACTTGACCAGGTCATTCTCTTTAGTCCTGCAGTCAGTCCTATTGAACCATCTTATGGTGAGCAGGCAGGCGATACGGATTGTTAGCAGTCGTACTGTACCATCTTCTGCTGGGCAGGCAAGAGATGAGGATGGCTAGCAGTCGTACTGTACCATCTTCTGCCGAGCAGCCATGAGATGTGGATGGCATGCAGTCCTTCTGCACCGTCTGCTGCCAGCCAAAGATGTAAAAGATAGATGGAGTGGATCAAAACAAGAAATAGACCAGATTTGTTTTGTATTCATTTGCTTCCCCCTCTCCCCTGTCTAGGGGACTCATTCCTCTAGGTCACACTGCAGTCACTCACAGAGAAGGTGCAGCGAGGTAAATCTAGCCATGTATCAATCAGAGGCCAGGCTAACCTTGTTCCAATAAGAACAATAACTTAGGTGCACCATTTCTTATTGGAACCCTCCGTGAAGTCCTGCCTGAAATACTCCTTGATGTAAAGCCACTCCCTTTTTTGATTTTAGCTCCCTGAAGCCAACCCTGTAAGCCATGTCCTCAGTCGCCCCTCCCTGCGTCAGAGCAACGGCAAACAATCGTGCATCTGAGTTGAGAGTGCTGTCCAGAGCAGTCACAATGGAGCACTCTGATGGGGCTAAAACATTGTCGCGGGTAGTTCTGGGTACATATCGTCAGGCCCCCCTTCCCTCCCTCCCTCCGTGAAAGCAAGGGCAGACAATCGTTTCGCGCCTTTTTTCCTGAGTTACCTGTGCAGACGCCATACCACGGCAAGCATGGAGCCCGCTCAGGTAACTGTCACCGTATGTCTCCTGGGTGCTGGCAGACGCGTTGCTACACAGTAGCAGCAACCCATTGCCTTCTGGCAGCAGATGGTACAGTACGACTGGTAGCTGTCCTCGTCATGTCCGAGGTGCTCCTGGACGCGTCGGCGGGGAGCGCCTGGGCAGACATGGGCGCAGGGACTATATTTGGAGTGACTTGACCAGGTCATTCTCTTTAGTCCTGCAGTCAGTCCTATTGAACCGTCTTATGGTGAGCAGGCAGGCGATACGGATTGCTAGCAGTCCTATTGCATCATCTTCTGCCGGGCAGGCAAGAGATGAGGATGGCTAGCAGTCCTACTGCACCATCTTCTGCCGAGCAGCCATGAGATGTGGATGGCATGCAGTCCTTCTGCACCGTCTGCTGCCAGCCAAAGATGTAAAAGATAGATGGAGTGGATCAAAACAAGAAATAGACCAGATTTGTTTTGTACTCATTTGCCTCCTCCCCCGTCTAGGGGACTCATTCCTCTAGGTCACACTGCAGTCACTCACAGAGAAGGTGCAGCGAGGTAAATCTAGCCATGTATCAATCAGAGGCCAGGCTAACCTCCTTGTTCCAATAAGAACAATAACTTAGGTGCACCATTTCTTATTGGAACCCTCTGTGAAGTCCTGCCTGAAATACTCCTTGATGTAAAGCCACCCCCTTTGTTGATTTTAGCTCCCTGAAGCCAACCCTGTAAGCCGTGTCGTCAGTCGCCCCTCCCTCCGTCAGAGCAACGGCAGACAATCGTTCCACGCCTTTTTTCTGTGCGGACGCCATACCAAGGCAAGCATGGAGGCCGCTCAGCTCACTTTGGCAATTAGGAGCACATTAAACACCACACGCATTATCCAGCAGTATATGCAGCACCAGAACCTGGCAAAGTGATACCGGGCGAGGAGGCGACGTCAGCGCGGTCACGTGAGTGATCAGGACATGAACACAGATTTCTCTCAAAGCATGGGCCCTGCCAATGCATGCATCATGGTGCTAATGGGGCAGGTTCATGCTGTGGAACGCCGATTCTGGGCTCGGGAAACAAGCACAGACTGGTGGTACCGTATAGTGTTGCAGGTCTGGGACGATTCCCAGTGGCTGCGAAACTTTCGCATGCGTAAGGGCACTTTCATGGAACTTTGTGACTTGCTTTCCCCTGCCCTGAGGTGCATGAATACCAAGATGAGAGCAGCCCTCACAGTTGAGAAGCAAGTGGCAATAGCCCTGTTGAAGCTTGCAACGCCAGACAGCTACCAGTCAGTTGGGAATCAATTTGGAGTGGGCAAATCTACTGTGGGGGCTGCTGTGATGCAAGTAGCCCACGCAATCAAAGATCTGCTGATATCAAGGGTAGTGACCCTGGGAAATGTGCAGGTCATAGTGGATGGCTTTACTGCAATGGGATTCCCTAACTGTGGTGGGGCCATAGACGGAACCCATATCCCTATCTTGGCACTGGAGCACCAAGCCGGCGAGTACATAAACCGCAAGGGGTACTTTTCAATAGTGCTGCAAGCTCTGGTGGATCACAAGGGACGTTTCACCAACATCAACGTGGGATGGCCGGGAAAGGTACATGACGCTCGCATCTTCAGGAACTCTGGTCTGTTTCAAAAGCTGCAGGAAGGGACTTTATTCCCAGACCAGAAAATAACTGTTGGGGATGTTGAAATGCCTATATGTATCCTTGGGGACCCAGCCTACCCCTTAATGCCATGGCTCATGAAGCCGTACACAGGCAGCCTGGACAGTAGTCAGGAGCTGTTCAACTACAGGCTGAGCAAGTGCAGAATGGTGGTAGAATGTGCATTTGGACGTTTAAAGGCGTGCTGGCGCAGTTTACTGACTCGCTTAGACTTCAGCGAAACCAATATTCCCACTGTTATTACTGCTTGCTGTGTGCTCCACAATATCTGTGAGAGTAAGGGGGAGACGTTTATGGCGGGGTGGGAGGTTGAGGCAAATCGCCTGGCTGCTGGTTACGCGCAGCCAGACACCAGGGCGGTTAGAAGAGCACAGGAGGGCGCGGTACGCATCAGAGAAGCTTTGAAAACCAGTTTCATGACTGGCCAGGCTACGGTGTGAAAGTTCTGTTTGTTTCTCCTTGATGAAACCCCCTGCCCCTTGGTTCACTCTACTTCCCTGTAAGCTAACCACCCTCCCCGCCTCCCTTCAATCACCGCTTGCAGAGGCAATAAAGTCATTGTTGCTTCACATTCATGCATTCTTTATTCATTCATCACACAAATAGGGGGATGACTACCAAGGTAGCCCAGGAGGGGTGGTGGAGGAGGGAAGGAAAATGCCACACAGCACTTTAAAAGTTTACAACTTTAAAATTTATTGAATGCCAGCCTTTTTTTTTTGGGCAATCCTCTGTGGCGGAGTGGCTGGTTGGCCGGTGGCCCCCCCCCCACCGCGTTCTTGGGCGTCTGGGTGTGGAGGCTATGGAACTTGGGGAGGAGGGCGGTTGGTTACACAGGGGCTGTAGTGGCAGTCTGTGCTCCAGCTGCCTTTGCTGCAGCTCAACCATACACTGGAGCATACTGGTTTGGTCCTCCAGCAGCCTCAGCATTGAATCCTGCCTCCTCTCATCATGCTGCTGCCACATTTGAGCTTCAGCCCTGTCTTCAGCCAGCCACTTACTCTCTTCAGCCCGCCAGCTCTCCTCCTGGTCATTTTGTGTTTTCCTGCACTCTGACATTATTTGCCTCCATGCATTCGTCTGTGCTCTGTCAGTGTGGGAGGACAGCATGAGCTCGGAGAACATTTCATCGCGAGTGCGTTTTTTTTTCTTTCTAAGCTTCACTAGCCTCTGGGAAGGAGAAGATCCTGTGATCATTGAAACACATGCAGCTGGTGGAGAAAAAAAAAGGGACAGCGGTATTTAAAAAGACACATTTTATAAAACAGTGGCTGAACTCTTTCAGGGTGAACCTTGCTGTTAACATTACATACATAGCACATGTGCTTTCGTTACAAGGTCGCATTTTGCCTCCCCCCACCGCGTGGCTACCCCCTCCCTGTGGCTAACAGCGGGGAACATTTCTGTTTAGCCACAAGCAAACAGCCCAGCAGGAATGGGCTCCTCCGAGTGTCCCCTGAAGAAAAGCACTCTATTTCAACCAGGTGACCATGAATTATATCTCACTCTCCTGAGGATAACACAGAGAGATAAAGAACGGATGTTGTTTGAATGCCAGCAAACATACACTGCAATGCTTTGTTGTACAATGATTCCCGAGTACGTGTTACTGGCCTGGAGTGGTAAAGTGTCCTACCATGAAGGACGCAATAAGGCTGCCCTCCCCAGAAACCTTTTGCAAAGGCTTTGGGAGTACATCCAGGAGAGCTGCGAATGCCAGGGCAAAGTAATCCTTTCACATGCTTGCTTTTAAACCATGTATAGTATTTTAAAAGGTACACTCACCGGAGGTCCCTTCTCCGCCTGCTGGGTCCAGGAGGCAGCCTTGGGT